TCCACAACTTCTGGCAAGTGTCCTGATGTTGGGCCAAAAGCAAGAGCTTTGACTGTAGAGAGAAAAAGTATTTACTGCCATGGTCTGTAAAAGAATGCAGACTGGCTATTTGCCCAGCAAATGACACCAAAGAAGAGAAAACACCAAATTTCTTTTTTTTTTTTCCCCTACTGTCTCTCTCCACTCCTGCCCTGACTCTCTCAGCAGCTTGTTTTCTCCACCCATTCCCAGTGCTGCCAAACAACTGCCTCAGATCAGCACACAGTGATATTGGTGTTGGGGTAACCTGTGTCACACGGGCATGTGGTGACTCATTTTTCCAGGCCCGTAGGAGTCACTAATTTGAACTGTTACTGGCTTCTTTGGCAACATCCATGGAATGATATGGGAATGTGAAGCTAGGATATGACTCACTCTGTAAGGGAAGGACACAGAGCTGTCTCTACAATCGACTGAATTTCTTGAGCTTCTGCATTGGAGTTCCTGGGTTCTCCGCATGTCATTTCCTCCCTTCCTTCAGTGTTTCTCACTGTTGCCAAAGTGATAATCCTCAGTGATGTTGTGGAGCCAGCTATCCTGGTGACAGTGGAATTCTTCCCCTTTTTCATTGTCTTTGGTAGTACTAAAGTATTCTTAATAGTGGCATGCCCGGTTACTCAGAAAGGGCTACCATGAAGTCCACCACTAAAGCTATCACTAAATCATTTTGCATGGCCTTTACTAGCAGGGGTTTTCATGAACCCAGTGGCATAAAACACAGGAAAAAAAGCTGAGCTCTTTAAGTGTGTTTGGATTGTCCTCCCTAGCTATGTTCTTGGGGCTGATATTCACTGATTGTTGCCTTACACACATAGCCAGAGGCTCCATGACAGCCTCTTCCCCCTCCTTGCCATTTTCACCCAGCTTTTGTCACTGGGCTGTCCATGCTGAGCCAGCCTGGCATTGGTCACCTCACACAAATGCCCATGTTGGTGGACTGGCACCTCCAGATGGGAGCAATCCAAGGCAGACTGTACCAACTTCCAGGGAGAAGTTCCTAGAAGGGTCTTGACATGTGCAGAGCCTCCCAGATGTCATTTCTGTCACTTTCAGGTGCTGTTTCAACTTGGACTTGGGAAACTGAACTGGGAAGGAATCTGAGGGAGCATTTTTCCAGGACAAATAGATACAGCCAGTTAGTCACGCCAAGATGATGGCAAGTGTTTGGCAGAGATGTACAGAGAAGGTCTCTCCCTCTGGCCAATGTACACATATTTCTGGTAAGGACTGGATCTCTGAGAGAGGACACATCCCACTGCACCCACAGAGCTGGACCACATTGACAGCCCAAGATTTTCCAGTGGGCAACTTGCAACTTGACAGCCAAAATCTTCAGAAACTCCTTCCGGGTGATGGGGCAGGAAGGAAGCATGGCAGTACAGCCTTGTCCACTGTGCACTTCTCCCTCCCTCACTCCCTCCCTCCCTCCCTTTCAACCCTGTCCTTTCTCAATACCCAGGAAAGATTAACTCCTCTTCACACACCAGAGAAAGTTATTATCATTAATGAAGAATTAAAAGAGAGTGATTAATAAAGGGCCCTTATCTGGCCATGAGGAGGAGGCTGGACAATGGAAGGAAGATGGAGAAAATGAAAAACAATAAATATGAAGCGTAAAAGGAGGCGAGCACTGCTCCCACTTGTTAGATCGCAGCTGCATCTCCTGAGGGGGGAAGGCTCCAAATTGCTAATTACTGCCTCTGAAAAGACCTCGCTCTGATATGTTTTCTGCTGAAAGGTTCCCATTAATGAAGCAGCGATGATGCCGTTTCCCTTTGACTTGCCTTCAATTCCCTCCCTGAGCTTCCTCCCAAGCCGGGAACAATGAGGCCCTGGGAGCTGGCGGCTCCCACAGGCCTCTCGGAGACTAGGCCGGGGGCAGCCGAGTGAGGGGAGCCGAGCCGGCTGTGAAATATGGAGGGGGGAGATAAGGCAAAGACAGAGGAAAGAGGCTCACTCCCAGGAGCCCAGGGAAAATTTGCAGTTATTATGAAGGAGATGAGACAGATTAAAAGCCCTTGTGTTCTGCGCTGCCCTTTTATTTAGTGGCTTCATCTCTGAGATGAAAGAAGTTGGAAATGACTTTCTCCGCATTTTGCTGCAAGAAGCTTCACGGCACATTTTTTGACTTTATTCCTCCCTTTGTCTCTTGTCCCCTTTCTGTCTCTCTTTTTCCTTTTAACCCCTGGAAGGTTTTGCTGAGAAGTGCCATGGGACTAGGCAGAGCATTTGCTGGGGTAGAGCAATGACCCTGCTGCTCTCCCCATCCTGGGCTGTATGCCTCCTGCTGCCCACTGGGGAGACAGCTGGGCCAAGGCACTGCCATGACAAGCAGAGAGCATCCAGCCGCGCTTCCTCTCCTGCTTGCCTCAGAAATGTCCCTCACCTCTCCTGCCTCCAGGCCCAGCAGCAGTTCAGCACAGTTGACTGAAGCCTCTGGACAGGACTACCCTTACAAAGCCCAGTGATGGATAACAATACATGCGGGATAAGAGTGCTGAACATTTTGTATCCCTGGAGCATTTAATGAGCAAAATTAGTGCTGAGAAGTTGGGCCAGTTCCCATTCAGGCAACCTGCACAGTGCACAGAGAGTAAACAGTTTGCCAGGGATGTGGGATGAAGTTGAATTCAGGCAAGGATTCAAAATTTATTTTTGCTGACCCATGTCAGGGTGAACCTTGTAAGACTGGACAGACGTCCCATAAGCTGCTCAAAAGCAGATTATCCCAATTGCCTCATTACATTTATTGAACTCCTATTCTGAATTTTCTGATTTTTCCCCATATACCTTTTGCTCCCTACATGTTCCTTTGTGTCACTCTTTTAGTCATTGTGACTCTTTTAATTGCAGCAGCACTTTCATTCTGTCTCTTGCTTTTACCCTGTGTTCTCTCTCACAGAAAACCGACCTTGTATGCCAGTGTCTTTACTCAGGCCAAGTGCTGACAACATCTGCAGAAATTTGGGTTTGGGTGTTGAACGTGGAAAAAAAAAATTGACAGGTGAAGTAAAATTTATACCAGTTGCAAAACATTTTGTTACAGAAACAGCAGAGAACTAGTTGGGAAATGAGGGGAAAATAAGAGAAATTAGAGTGGGCATCTGCTGCCATCTCCCCAGGACATCTGAATACAGGATTTCTTGTATACAAAATTGTTTTGTTATCCTGCCTGGAACGGCAGCCAGTATCGAGTGCTTGAAATAAAGGGGTAAGAAGCTCTGAAGTGATGTTTACAGAATAACCTTCCCATCAGGGGAGTTTCTCTCTAACCCAGACATTTTGTAGCTGTTTTATATCCTGAAGCATGAAAAAGGATTGCAGCAGTGAAAAAGGATTAGATTTTAGGAGGGATATTCACTCAGATCTGAGAGTAAAAAGAACACCCCTGCATTGGAAATAGGAAACTGGCCGGGAAAACGAAACACTGCTAGCAAGTAAGGTGAGTTACTGCCCCAGAAAGGGTTAAAAAACCAAAAGGACAGAATTTTACAGGAAAATTGGTTTACATAAAGTAACTTTAATCAAGTCAGCTATTGGAAATGGGATTAAAAATATCTACTTAATGTCTGCTTTCCTTTGAATATTTATTTTTCAAAGAAAGACTAGAGAACTACAAGGAAATGAAAATGTTAACATGACAGCTCAGACCGGCATAAAGGACTAGTTAGATAAACAGCACAAGGGAAGTCCAGCAAAGCTAAATGAAGCTTGTCCTATTGGGGTATAGGAATCAATGGCAAACTCAAGGATTCAGTTATTTTTGAAGTATCTTGACAAACTAGGGAGGGTGCCAGAGGACTGAGGAAGAGCAAACACAGCGCTGGTCTTTTGAGGTGAGAGCAGGGAGGCAGCAGTGGTCTTGGCAAATATCACCCTTCCAGAGTAACTTCTGTTCTTGGCAATGTGATGGAATAAACAGAAATGGGGGGAAAAGTAAGACTACAAAGGATAAGAGATCTGTGAGCAATAGGCAGCAGTATGTATGTTTATAGAGAATAAATCACATAAAAATAAATCTGATTACTTTCTTTTGCTCTAATTTACAAAATTAATGAAGAGAATACCTCAAACATAATATAGATATGGACTCTGGCAAAACTTTTGATATACTGCATTTTAAAACATTACATGGAAAACGAACCACTATTGGCTTGAATGTGAGTGCAGCTACATCGGTTAAGAAAACCCCAAACACCTTTGTGAAAAAGAAACAAAAACCAAAAAACAAAATCAAACCAAACCCCAAACAAAAAAACCCCACTCCCAACTCCCACCCCAAACCAAACAAAAAAAAATGAACAAAACCCCGAACACCCAAAAAACACCCAAACAAAAAACCCCAGGGAAACAAACAAAAAAAACCAAGCCAAACCGACGATGAAAAAAACCCATTCAAATCCCCCTGAAGACGCATCACGAAAGCTGAGAAATAAAACGGAATGTTACACAAAACTGGATGGTAGTAGGTTCACTCTTAGCTTTATTCCGATGGCTGTTGGTGATGTGTAAATCGGCATGATGGGAAAAGAGATACAAGCCTTAAGGGGAGGAGAGTAGCACCGTGAAGTTTAATTTAGGATGCACACAACTAGCGTGGCAGCCACGAAATGGAGGAGTTTGGGTACCAAGTTTATTCCCTATTAAAAATAAAATACGGTAACCAAGGATCTAAAGGTTACGTATATGGCAAGGGCTGCCCCGCTGGCAGGTAAGGGCTCAGTAATGACTCCGCCGGCGGCACCAGCCGCAGTGTAAACACAGAGCGAAGCACGAACCCGGCAGCAGTCCTCGCTCGGAGGCGGGCCGGCCGGCGGGGCGGGCCGCTGCCCGGCCGGGCCGTCAGGGCTCGGCGGCGGCCCCGCCCGCAGGCGGGGCGGGCGGAGGAAGTGGGCCGGGGAGGCCGGAAGCGGCGCTGACGAGGGGCTGGCGGAGCGGGGCGCTGGCCGGTGAGCGGGGTCGTGGGGAGGCCCGGCAGGAGGCTGCGCGTCCGGGATGGTGAGGGCAGTTCTCCCGGCTTTTCCCGGTGAAGCTGGGGGGTGTCGGGCAGAAGTAGCGGCGTCTCCCCAGAGGAGGGAGTCAGTGCGGCCGGGTCGCTGAGGGCTGAGGCAGGCGGCCTGTGGCAGTGGGTAGTTCGCCGGGCTGGGAGTGCGGGTGTTTCTGAGGCCGGTGGGGAGTGAAGTCCCACGCCTACAAGGCACGGGTAGGGAGAGGGGTGTTGTGAGGTGAGGGATTTGGCCAGGACTTTGGGATTAGCACACTGACAGCCCTGAATTTAGGGGTGGTATTTTTCGGCAGTAGGAGTTGGGGCTTGGTCTCCTACACCCTGTTCTGAGGAGCTCAGGGTCCCGTGCGCCTTGCTTTTCTGCTGAAGTGATGCTGGCTTGCAAACTACCTGTTTTACCATCTGTTTTACTCCCAGCTTTGCTGCTTGTCTACTTTTTGGAAGACTCAATCTGTTTGTCAAGCAGGCTGACCCTTCTCTGTGGCTTTACTGACACCGGGTAGCAAAAACTAGTTGCAGGCTTCCATACCCTTTGGGATGTGTAATTGAGCATGCTGCTTCAACACAAAAGATGAACCTTTTAGACCTTCTCAGACACAGAGCACTCAACCCAACTGCTGCAGTAGAGAGAAATCTGTGCCACCATGGCTAGAAGAGGGATTTAACTCTTGCAGAAAGAAGAAGTGAGTGTTAGCCCAGGAAGTGGCAGTTATCTTGCACTGGGTCCTCCCAGGTAGCTTCAAAGTAAGTGTCTAACTCCATTAATGTTACAACGGCTCTAGCATACCACAGTCCAGTGATGTGTTGGTAGCAGTATTTACGTCTGGTGCTAATTATTTGTTGTCATTTTTAGTAGGCATTGCCAATGGATGAACTGGTGCATGACTTGGCTTCAGCTTTAGAGCAGACTTCAGAGCAAAACAAACTGGATGAGCTATGGGAAGAGATGGCCCTAAGCCCGCGGCAGCAGCGGCGTCAGCTTCGCAAGAGACGGGGTCGTAAACGACGCTCAGACTTCACGCATCAGGCAGAACATGCCTGCTGCTACAGCGAGGCCTCAGAGTCAAGCTTGGACGAAGCTGTTAAGGATTGCCGTGAGGTGCTGACAGCTAATTTCAGTGACTCTGATGACATGGCAGTGGTCAAACGACATCCAGCTCTTAGTGCCACCCTGAGGAGCAAGCAACACTTGTGGCATGAGTCAGACTCCTTTACAGAGAATGCATCCTGTCGACCTCTCAGGCGCCGACGGAAAGTCAAACGTGTGACATCAGAGGTGGCTGCCAGTCTCCAGCAAAAGCTCAGGGTGTCAGAATGGAACTATGAGAGGGGCTGCAGGTTCAAGTCAGCCAAGAAACAGCGTCTTTCACGCTGGAAAGAGAATGCCCCTTGGACATCATCCAGTCATGGCCTTTGCGAGTCAGGGGAGAAAAGGCCCTTCCTCAGCAATGGGGGAAGGAAGGAGCGGATGGAGTGTGAAGCTGATGATCAGAAACAGGGCTCAGATGAAAACATGTCGGAATGGTGAGATCTTGGTTTCTTCTCTGTGCTAGTCAGATGGCCGCCTTGCTTGCAGCTGCTTGTAAATGCTGTGCCTTGCTTTTTGAAGTTCTTAAAATTATTCAGTACTGCTCTCTTTTTGAAGATGAGAAATATCTCAGCTGCTTCTAAACTGTAGATTTTTTCTAAGTCTTTCCTGTCAGTACTGTATGATGATCCAGAATGCTTCCTTGAAAAGTTGGCAGGCTGGTATGTTTCTGGCTCTTGTTACACAAGGAGTCCTCTGAAATGTCTGTGGCCTTGCAGCTACAAGGTGGCATGCTTGTGGCCTATGGTTTGGGGAATAAACCCACAGCTGGCACTTGTGTTGTGTGATTGATAGGAAGTGATCTCAGTTTCTTGTTTTCAGCATTTACTATAAGTAGTAGTAGATAACAGATCCTTACTGCTAGCCCTCTGTGCAGGTACTGTGTAAACCTCAGTCTAACCTTGCCTGCATTTCTACGTTTCCGCTCTGAATCTGATCGTCAAAGTCTAGCTATGGGGAGAATGTGGTGAAACAATGGAAAAGTTATGGGGAGCTTATGTTACTTACAGGATAAGCCTGTGCAAACAGTGGAGTCTGATGTCTTGGTGTCCAGTTTTGGAGAACTTTGATGAATTTGTGGCAGAATTACATGCAGAGGATTAAAATGAGACATGCAGATGTCATGGTCTAAGTTTGTGTTGCGCTTTGGAATTTTTTTCTCCAAGTGTGAATTTTATTCTCTCCGTTGAAGGTTTGGGATAATAAAACTGCTTCTGTCTGAAGAATTTTTTCAGGTTAGAAAAGAGGCATCTGCTAAGAATCAAATGGAGGAAATTTCTTAATGAATAGCATACAAAAAGCAAATGTGATTGCTGATTTTCTAATAATCATTGTGTAAGAACAGCAGACATTGAGGAGACATTTAAGCAAAACATATTATTTTTCATGAAACATGCAGTCTGGAACTCTACTGCAGGACATTTTAGAGGTCAAAATTTAAATATGTTCAAAAGGGAAGTGTGGAGCATAGATATATCAGGAGCTGTTAAACATTACAGCCCAGATGAAAAATCCCGCTCAGGAAGTCCTTAAACTGCTGACTTCTAAAAGCTAGAGGAGCATACAGAGAAGTCTGCATTTGTCATGTTCTCATGTTCTTTTCTCAAGCACTGTAATATCGCTATCAAATAGAGGGGATTTGGGAAGTCTAACTTTTTGATACAGTATGATTGTTCATATGTTGAGGTTCAGTTAAGTGTTGTGACAATCTAGGTCCTGCAGTTTGTCAGAGTGGACAGGTGGCACTTCATTATTATGGCTTTGTGGATAATAGCTGGAATTGCAAACTTCTCAGTGGTATTTTCTGGGACCCTGTGAAAAGCTTAGGTTATAGTAAGTCCTCACTGTGGTCTAGGGAACCACTATTGCCTTTTTACAGGGCCAGTTGTGATAAGTAGCATGTAACTCTTACAGTGTGGTCACTTTTTTCTTTCAACAGTGGCTGTTGTTGCTAAAAAGTGGGTGTAAAGTGGGGTTTTACAAGAAACTTGTGAATGGAAACTTCTTGTTACTACTTGTTAAAGTAGTTTTATCTTCTCAGAGCTGTTTGCTCTTAGTCCAGGAAAAGAAGTGTGCTAAGTAGCCCCTGAAGAGTGCATGTCAGCGGTGATGGACTGAGAGATACCCTTACTAGATGTGGCAGTGATGGACAGTTTTCCTTGAGTTGGTTTTTCTAACACCAGTCGGTCTGTTCCATCATGTCAAACTTGAACTTAAACCAGCAGGCTTTCATCCAGCCTTTTTTTGTGCCAGCCTTGGAAAGAGTAAATAAAGAGCTATGTCCAGACTGTTACTTGAGGACCATGCTGGGAGATGGCTTTGTTCTGTCTCAGTTGTCCCTTGCTCTCAGACTAATTATTGTGCTAGTGTATGCATCAAATGACACTTACCATCTGCTGCCAAATCCTTGGGACTCTCTCTGGAAAGCTAGTGCTTGGAATATTTGACCTCTCCAACACCACATGTGTGATCTGTGCTGTGACTCACTAGGGAGGGCCACAGTTGGAGGGAGGAATACATGCAGCCGTCTTCACTGCAGAGTATCCCTCTCAGCAGTGAATGATCATGCTTTGGTCTCCGCTGCTCTAAATATAGCACTTTGCTGCTTGCAGCACAGTGAAACTGGCTGTGTTTGCCTCACTCCTACTGTGCTATAGCTGTTTTTTCTGGTACAGTAAGAGAAGTACTTTTCACAGATGTATGACAAGGGCATATCCTAAGGAAGGGAGAAGAAAACTGGATGCCTGGGATAGCAAATGGTGTGGTTGTCATCACAAGTTGATGGGACAAAAGGTGACTAGTGCTGTTTGTGGGACTTGGATGCAGTCTGTGGTGATCTGGTGATTTACAAAACTTTTATACTGAGCTGGTTCCACTACTGTTCACCCCTATAACAATAGGGGATGTGACAAAACAGGTTTTCAGGCAAACTGTGTATTCAAAGTGGATTTTTTTTTTTTAGCTTCTTTTTCCTTCCCTACACTAGCAATTGCTTTGGTTTGTTATACAGGAATGAATCTGTAAATGCTGAAATATCCACTATTTTCTCTGCTTTCTAGTAGGCTTCTAATCCTAAGCCAGGTCAAAGACCTATTTATTCAGTTGAAAAACTCCCATTCACTGAGAAAGTCTTGAATATGTGTTCTTAATGAGGAAATGTTTTTTTTCTACTTTGAGTGTGGGACTATGCCCAGTCCTTTTCTGGAGGAAGATGAGCTGCAGTATTGTGATTCAAGTGTGCATTATAATGAAATCTTAGAAATTGTGTGCCAAACACGGCAAAAGGTGAACATAAATTGAGAGAAGATTGAATGTGCAGGAACATGATAAGGAAATTATGATGGTTCTGAATTGGGTAATGACATGACCCAATGCCTGATCTATAAATAATTATGCAAACAGAAGAAACAAGTGGTTTTAGTTTAAGCAATTGTTTGTATATTGTACGAAGGTGACAATTAGCTGCTAAGACTGTTAGAAGTAACATGCCTTTCTGTCCCTAAACGTTTTGAGATTCCCTGCAGCCATAATAAAGACAAATTACATGTTGAGTGCTGAAGTTTCTTCTCTTGTTGGTCTAAGCTAGGTATTTCTAGAATGGTCTGGGTTTGGTTTGAGGGCAGAACAAATCATAGTACAAGAGCTGTCTAAAAATCACTTTGAGTAGTGTGTTTACTTGTGAAAGATATGCAGTTGGTCTCATCTGTTTTCACGTACCAAAACTTACTGTGACTTTTTCAAACCTGGGGTTCTACTGACCCACCAATGCTGTAAGATTTCACTGCCTTAATCTTGATGTATTTGTTGTGGTTTAACCTGGATAGGCAGCTCAGCTCCGTAAAGCCACCTGCTCATTCCCCTGCAGGGATGAGGGAGGAAAATGGAAGAGTAAAAGTGAGAAAACTCTCAGCTTTAGGTAAAGCAAAAGCTATGTGTGCAAGCAAAGCAAAATAAGGAGTTCACTACTTCCTATCAGTGCGCAGGTGTTCAGCCATCTCCAGGAATGTAGAACTCCATCATTTATAACATTCTTCGGGAACACAAACACCACAACTTCAAATTTCGCTGACTTCATTCTTCTTTTTCCCAGCTTTTATTGCTAAGCATGACGTTATATGGTGTAGGATATGACTGTGGTCAGTCAGGGTCAGTTGTCCAGCCTGTGTGCCCTCCGATCTTGTGCACCTCCAGCCTGCTTACTGGCAGGGCACTGTGTAAGCACTGCTCAGCGATAACTAAAGCATCCCTGTATTATCAACACTGGTCACAAACCCAAAACATAGAACCAAAGTCCTACTATGAGAAAAATTTAACTCTGTGCCAGCCAAAACCAGTACAATGTTCTGGCCTGGGAATATGAACATTTCCCATCCTGAATGTGCAGTTAAGTTGCTTTACCCTTTGGAAGAGAGCTGCTTTGATGACAGTCTGCAGTTGCACTCATGAGTCTGGCTAAGCTGATGAATTGGAGGCCAGTCTCTCCATAAAAAAAAAAAAAATTCCTCTCTCTTGGAAGGCAAGTGACAAAGACAGAGTGTTCTGCTTCCCCTCCTTCTCCAGCCCAGCCTGACCTTCTGCAGCCCCTCGGTGCCTCTTGTTTTCTTATTTTTATAGAAAATCAATATCCCTCTTGACACAAACAATAGCTCAGGCAAAAGAATAAATGGGGGAAACCTGAGATCTCTGTCCATCACCTCTCTGTTTAACTCCCCCAAAGTATTTAATTATAAGCATGCTTTGCTCCAGGTGTTTGCGACAGTGAAATTGCTAAATGAGGACCATTTTAACCAAAGATTGGGTGATCAATAATACTCTATAGCAGTAGCTTGTTGGATCAATAGCATTCATTATTTCATGGTTAAGGTAAGTAGCCTCCTTTGCAAGTGGAGGTCATTAATCAGTGCTTACTGGACCTGCAGAAAGGCCTGCATAGGAGTCTAGTTTGTGTTCAGCCCTGCAGTGTAAAAGGGGTAGTGAAGAGGGTGAAATCCCTGAAAGTTTGTTCCTGTAAAGCACTGGCAGTGATGCTTTTCTCCAAGCAACTAAAGAGCTCTCAGTGCAACAGAATGCTTAAAGTACTGTTAATATGACCTGGATACTTGTCAGTGCTTTTTCCTTTCTCAGACACCTTTCTTCTGAGGATGCTAAAACCCTTATGAAGCTGTCGCTTGGTCCTCGCATCTGCAGCTTGTGAGGATTGTTTATCCAAACTATCAAAAGGGAAAGCAGGCACGCTAAGAGATTGGCCCAGGGTCATACAGTGAGTTGGTAGGAGAGCTTGGGATAAAACAATTAATTTGTGGTTCTCAGTCCTTGGCCATGATTGCTGTGGTGTATATGTGGGAGGATGAATGCACAGTCAAGCTTTGTAATGGATTAATTTGGAATTTAATATTAACTTACATGCTGGAAGGTGAGGATGCTGTACAAATTGTTCATCCATTAAGTATAAATGGCCTTTATACAATGATGAAGATGCAGAATTTTAGATACCAGCATGATGAGTTAATTAGTTTGAACTTTACAGTGCATTTTCTAAGAACAGCAATATGCTCACAAAATAGAGTTTTATTCTGTTCCTGCAGTTCTTTGGATTGACATATTTTGTGGTCCCTCATCATTCAGCCTTGTAAATCAAGGGGTTTCCAGTTGATACTGGTCTCTAGTATGATCCAGTTTCCCTGGAAAAGAGGCATCCAGAGATACTTTAAAACAGCATTCCCTGATTTGAGACCGATTCTAGTGCTGACTTATACCTGCATTTGCATCTAAGGTCTTAGCGTTCAGGGAGTAGGCAGTAAGTAGTTTCTGCTTGTCCTAGAATCTCTTGGCTAAATCAGAGGAAGTATTGCCTGAAGTATCCAAGGAATGATTTCAGGTCAGCATTAAAGCCTTCAGATGCTTGGGACTGACACGGACATGTACTTCTACAAATATTCATCTAGCTTTGCAGTCAATTTTAATGGCTTTCTACACATTAATTTCTAGTTTTATTCTTTTGTTGAAGAATTAAATCTCTCAGTGCTTCAGCAAATGCAAAGCATGCTATGACAAGGTTACATTCAGCAACAGCAGGTCATGCTGTGCTAAGGTATTTAGCTGGAGAATTGTAAATGTCGCAGCTGCTCTTTACTCCTTATAGAATAAAAGTTTGGGGGGGGGGAAGCTGTTTGTGTGACAGTGTAACATTTTTGAGGAAAAGAAATCTGAAGTAGAAAACCAAAGAGGGCTTTCAGTAGCTGTTAAGTGACCCAAAGACAGAGTTTTTAACTGCGTGTAATTTCCTGGTGAGTATTTGAGATGATACCATATTTAGGTTATTAATTCTAGTACCCCAGGCAAATGCCATTTTATTAATTACTTCTTGGTAACTTAGAACTAAACTAGATAGAGGATTCTACTCTTTTTCAAGTGATGCAGCATTGATAAGTGTAGTTATGTTCTGTTCTAGAGCCAGTCATGTATCTGACTGAAATACAGTTTTTGTGAGACATGTAAAACATTTTGGTCTTGTAAAAGTAAAATGTAGTTTTTGTATTGTGCTGTTGCAATTGTAACCTTGTTTTCTTTTCTCTTTTTTTGTTCCAGTGAAACCAGCAGTGTTTGCAGCAGCAGTGATACTGGCCTGTTTACCAATGATGAAGGCCGCCAAGGTAACAACTGTCCTGTGATTTTCCTCATGAATTTCTTGCTTTCTTTATAAATGCAAAGATATATGTTTGAAGAGAGACAGAGAGAGGTGTGTGAGGAAAAACTGGTGGCAGGGAGTGGCTAGAAGTTAAGAAATAAGATGAGGGCTACAAATGTATGATTTTTTCATAACACTACATTTTCCTGATAAAATACTTTGTGCATCAGATCCATAATATTTGCAATATAAGAAGCTATTATTGTGGAAAAGCACAGACATACAAGAGGAATTTGAGAGGTCTTCATAATGAAAGGGCACAGCTTATGATTTTTCTGTAGATGTTTTAAGTGTCTACATACCATTAGTGCCTGAATCTGTTAGTTGTTTTCTCTATGGGCAGGAAAAGAAGATGGGGGGAAAAATTATGTAATACTGACAAGTCACCTAATAGGCTGTGCTAAGAAGATGATGGAACTATGTGATTTATTTCTTTAAATACGTGTTCCAACCTTGCTCTTGTGTGCATTAATTGAATGTGGTATTTTCAGTGTCTGTTGTAGAAATGGTATCTTAGGAGTTTTGAGTGTGAAGTGCAATCTGGTTTTAGTTACCAACCACAGCACAGTGTTCAGTTGATGGGGGATATGGCAGAAGTAAGTGTGAAATAGGTTGTAGTAGGCACATAGGCATTGAGGACTGTTACATTTGGAGCATGTGGAATGCGACCCTAGAGACCTGCAATTCTGTGCACTCTGATTCTGTCACATTTCACAGGCTAAGATTTGGATGAGATCTCTTCTGGGAATATACAAGTGCTAAAGTATAGCTCAGTAGAATATGCTGCTTCCACTAGCTTGTTAATGGCCCAGGTACCTGTGTGAAGCAACACAATGATAGCAAACATGCTTTTGTGTTTTCTGATGGTATTTTAGGCTGTCGGACCAATCTGTGGTCTTAGGGGAGTATAATACTTCCCTTAAGAGCAGGGATTTCAAATATCAGCTTTGACCTTTGCTGAAAAATAACTGTTTCCAGACTCTGGTTCTTCAAAGACAACAGAAAAGTAGAATCTTTTGCCCTCTTTTTACTGATGATTGTTCAGGGGGAGCTGAAATTAGTGAGCACTTGTATATCAGATGACAAAGCAGAGTGGTGACTGAAGTGTTTTACTTCATCACCTGACACAAGATTGATGGAGACTGGGTAGTGTATATATATATATATATATATATATATATATATATATATACTTGTCTATATGCTTGTCCTATATACTTGCCCTGATTTTATATCCTGTTTTAGACATTAATTTTTGGCTGCTACTAGAAGTAGGATGCTCAATATACAGGAACATGTAGAAATATTACTGAGATAAATTAATAAAGGCCAATTACAAAGCCTTCCCTGTTTAGGTAAGAGAAGAGGTTTGACATCCTTGTCATCTGGTCTCTCTCTGTTCAAACAATTTATACTGTGATAGCTTTCTGGCCAAGATGTATTAGCTTACAGTTCCATTGAAAGGGTTAAAAATATTGTTGTGCTTTCAGACTAAATAAAAAATACCTCATTTTCCTTTTTTTTTCTTGACAATTCTTAGTCAAGAAGTAAACAAAAAACAACAGCTTTCCATGTCAGTGAGATGGAGCGAGCACAATTTTTTTTTGTCACAGATAATCACCACCTTATAAATAGTTTCCAGCACAACTCCAGGCTGAATAATGGGAAATTTAAACTGGCAGCATTCTTAAATGCAGGTTTTTTCCCTCCTTCTTTTGAGGTTGCATCATGTAATATTTGTGCTGCTGCTAATTAAATAAATCATCTTTGCAACTGCACATACCAGCATGCTTCTGTGAGAATGATCCTAGTTCATAATTTGATTGTAAGGTGGGGTTCTTTTGGTTTTATATTTGTTACATGCATTGGGATCTCTCACAGTGAAAATTAGTGAATATTAGCATATGATGCTGATCATTAAAGTTTGTCTTGTGAAAATAGTGATTTGAGGTAGACTATGCTCACAGACCCAAATTTCTAGGAGTAGTTTTGCACAAATTATGCTCTCTTAGAAGAGCTACCCAATGTTACTTAATTTGCTATGAAGTGGAGGTGGGGTTTTTATATTTAAAGATATAACTGGTGGGTCAGCTTGATTCAGGACAGAAAAAACAATGTCAGAGCTCTAGGATAAAGCGTTCAGGTTGTCCTCCTACCTGTTGCTGATCAGAGTTGGTTTTGTATGTTGCTGCTTCTGTTATGTGCAAGACTGGAGCATTCTTACTAGGATGAGTTTTTTTTTACTTTCTTGTATTCTTTTTTTTCTTTTTTCTGTTTTTATTTGTCTTTATTTTTCTTTTTTCATTATTTTCTTTTTTCTTTTTTTCTTTTTTCTTTTTTCTTATTTTTTCTATTTTCTTTTATTTTCTTATTTTTTTCCTGTCTTTTTCTTTTTTTCTTTTTTTTTTTTCTTTCCCAGCAAGACGTGTGGCATAATGGACTTTGGTCAGGAATAATGTAACTCAGTGAGGAAAGGAGTGTAAGTGATGATGCTTGAGTTGAGACTTAATGGTAGGCAAATGAGAATTTTCCCTACACTAGATGTGTTAGTTTTTTAAGGCAAGGTGAAGCATCTTGCAATTGCATGGGACTATGTGAGTTTGGCTTCTGAAATGCTACGTGTGTCAGGTTCTTTGCTGTCCTCCTGCTTTTTTTTTTCACATGCTGCTCATGTGCTACTGCTCTGAGGGAATTTCAGACAGATTTACTATGAACAGTGTGATGCAGTTCAGTTTTAGGCTGCAGCTGTGTGAACTACAGTGATCTAGCTCCATGGAGAGTTTGGTCATGACTTCTGATGCTGCTGCCTTAGTTTTGCAGAGGATTTGTAGTTCTGAGAGATTCTAAGAAATTTTGATCGAAAGCAGCTCACAGCATGGTGCTTGAACTCAGAGTGACCAATTCAGATAGTTCTGTATTTTCGTCTTAGCTGCTGTCTTAGGAGACTAGGGGTCTTTCTCATCAGTATGTTTCTTTTGCTTACACTGTGAGCCTGGTCTTCCCCTCTTGTGAAGTCTCTCCTGTGACAGCCTATTACATGTGCCAAATGATTGGCCTCTTCTGGTGTCGCAGTAATTACTTCAGAGAAAGAGTTCTGCATAAGATATCACACAATGTTGAACTAAGGTTGATGAGATGCAGTAGCAACAGAGTGCTAAACCTGCCCTAGGCAGGTCTATAAAGAGGCTTTGTTCTATAGGGAAATTCTGGAGACTGATGAGTTGGATAGTTTAAAGCATTTAGTGAGGCCCCATAGTTACTGAGGATCATTGAAACAGAATACAAATATAAGGCTCTTCAAGAACGAATTCCTAATGAGACTTCAGCTGTTTCACATTCAGATGTGCCTACTTGTAGTATTTTGAGGGACTGTCACAGAGTACACCGATGTTATTTATGGCTAATTCCATCCTATTTCTTTAGGAGATGATGAGCAAAGTGATTGGTTTTATGAAGGAGAATGTGTTCCAGGATTCACTGTCCCGAACCTTCTTCCCAAATGGGGAGCTGATCACCGATCTGAAGTGGAGAGGATTGACTCAGGCCTGGGCAAGCTCTCTGTTTCCACCTTCCTATTGCCCTCACGGCCAGCTCAGAGAGGTGAGGTCCATAAGGAATTGTGTTTGAGAACTTTTGATATGATGGCAAGAGCAGATTCTGTTCATAGGTGTTACATTTAAACATAGGTAATTCGTGTAAATATTGGTGATCTTTTTTTTTTTTTTTAAATCCAGTTAAGAAAATGCTGCACTATTGGTGAATTTACTGAAATAAGTCATACCAACTTCCCACTGGCAGTCTTCCTTTTTTTAAAAGTAAGGATTTTATTCGATTTGTGAATAAATTGGCATAGCTACATCTTCGAGACTGAAAAACAAGAGACAGAGGATTTGATTTGATTACTGAACTAAGGAATTTTCCTGGTGGTTTTGTCACAAAGAATCTTCTGTGTTCATTGCTCAGTTTTTCTGTGTTTGGTTTTCAGGATTTCATGCTCGTCTGAATCGCCTTCCAGGAGCTGCTGCCCGTTGTCTCCGTAAAGGTCGGAGGAGGCTGGTTGGCAAGGTATGCCCTTTTGAAACATGGTAATTTTGTATTTCAAATTCTGATCAATCCTGAAGTACTATTCTAAGATACCATGTAAATTGTTTTCTGCAGAAAGTGGTCCTGTATATTTTTTGTTTCATGTGTTGTTTGATTTGTTTAACTGCTTTGACTGTCAGAAGATGATTGAGTGACTAAGTGGATTTTAAGGCACATTTGGAGTGGCAAAGACAGCTGATCAGTGCTGAAAGCAGTATGAAAGGAGGCCTGCAGAAGAATGACAGGGAGCATAAATATCAAGAGGATTTAGACACAATGTAGGGGAAAATGATGATGGCATGAGACTTGTGCATGCTCATCTGAGAGTACAAGGGGAAAGAGGCGCCTCAAAGGTGAAGGAAGGCCAAATTTTATATAGGAAAGAAGACTGATATGAATGGCAGCAAAGGAAGGTGGTTTTAGCAGTTGCATTTTTAGTTGGAAGACAGGAGAGTAAAAAGGAATATACAGTAAATGCAGACAAAGCTGTCCAAAGCTATTGACTAGTTTTAGTATATGTAGGGCAAACACCAAACAAAATAAGTTCTTTTTTAATAGAAAAAAATGTAGTTTGCTGATGTCTGTCTAAAAGAGAGTGGTACACCTGGTTAGGTCTGCATCATGGAGTATTGAGTGCTCCTGTTTGTTGTAAAAGATGGTTCTGAGAAGGAAGGTGTTGACTGTGTTTGGCTTTTCTTTTTATTGTGATGTGCTTCTGTGGTTTTGAAAACACTGGCATAAATTCTGAGCTGGCTGGCCGTAGTCTGCTAACAAGGTGTGATAGGGGGGCCCGGAGTCTAGAGGAGTGCGACAGCTGCCTTCTGTTCAGTCATACTTGAAAGATCCTTGTCTGCCCCTTCTTTCTTCCACTCACCTTGCTTAATTGTAACCGGCATTCAAAATATGAATCCTCAGCTGGCAAGAAACTGACTTACACGTAGGGTTCCTGAGGCCACCTGCAAGTGGCTGGGCCTGGCGGCACACCTCTAATGATCCAAATGAGAAGGATAATATTTACTTGTTTAATTCATCTTCATCACCTTAAAGGGATCTTTGTCATTTGCAGCGGAGGTCACTGCTCCCCCTTCCCCATCTCTCTCGAAATTGTAATCATAAATAATGAGTTTCATTCAGAGCTCCCCGCCAGCGAGCTGCTAATTACCAAAAGTATGGCTTGTAATTTACACAGTAATAAACTGTAAATTTAAACATTATGGCACTTTAAGTTAATAATTTTCCTGCTGTAACAAATAGCCCATCTTTCACCCCTGCTGCTACAACTGCCCCCAGACTTTGAGTGTGTTTTGCCTATGTGCCTTGCACAAACAAACCTTATCTGTGAAAGACTTTTGCCCTCATCTTCAGCCTCTTCCTGAAAAGTATACTTTCTTGGAGGCAGTTACTATGCAGATGTGAACAGCTGGTGCTTCAGGCTGTGTGTGTACATGTATGCCAGCATTGAGCACATACACAGGGCAGCATCTTGCAGGAAGCAACATACTCCCGGAGCAAGTCCTTTCTCCTAGGACCTACCTTTTCTTTAGTTGCTGGAGGTCCTGCTGCTGAATTGCTGCTTTCAGGAAGGGCAAAAGCATCATGCTTTCACTTCTTAATTTATTCACTGGTGGTTGGTGAATCCCCACTGTTAATGGAATAGTGTAGTGTCCTATCTGAGCCTGTTTGAAGCCAACTGACATCAGTAACATGAAAAGAAGCACTTCCCAGCCATCTCGCCTGCTCTCATGCATCCTTGTGCTACATACTTTGTTCTAGTCCAGTTTATCGTGCTCCCCCCTGCAAGCGAAAATCATCACTAAAATAAAAAACAAGCCTCATAAATAAAATTGAATTATTTTCTGCCATTTTAACTAGTTAAATCATCTCAGGTGAAGTTCTAAAAGGAAGGAGTGAACATGTTTAGGTAAGAGTGGGCTAATAAGGAAAGGATGTGACCCAGGGGAGTAAGATTAGTTCTTACTGGCAGCAGCAGGCTATTCTCTGCTTACTGTGTGAATTTGCAACCTTTTACCTGTCTTTGTGTTTCAGGAGACCTCCATGAGCACTCTGGGCACCGAGAGGCTAGGTCATATTGTTAGTGATCCACGCCAGAAAGAGTAAGGCCCTTAACAGCTGTTGTATAGAACTTTGGGAGGGGAAAAAGATCTATAGTATCCTCTTCCTTTTGGGGGTGAAGGACTTGAAGAGCTGGGTGGACTCTTAAAGCATAACCTGTGGAATGGGAGACAGTATTCTACTGAGGGCTTCTACTCGTAATTGCTGACTTCCCCTTTGTTATATACAAATGTTTATATAAGGCTTCCCCAATGTGTGGACACTACTCAAATGCCCTTTTTTCCAGTCAGCTTTTTTTTTTTTCGTTCTCCCTTATAATGTGACATTGCAGTAACTGCAGATCTTTTGGACATTAAGAGAAGACTGAGCCCCATATGTTCATTTTTTAAAATGCTTCTTTGTGGAGCTGTACTTTGGGCACATACCCAGACTGCAGAAATGATGCTGACAAGGCAGCTGTGAAATTACTTTTACTTTCTTTGGTGTTATGTCTCCTTCCCCAGTTAGTGTATTTAAATTGTAGTTAGCACTGGAAAGCACGTGCTGGTTATCCTTTGGCATCTCCCTGATGCTGTTTTGGGGAATGGGTAGGTAAGGATGGCATGTCTTGACTGTAGTCCAGTGGGTCCAGCCTTCACCAGCTGTTGATACCTTATTTTCTTCCTTGGATCTGAAATTTGTTGTTTTTAATATGACTCCTGATGATGTTTAATCTTTTTCCTTCTCCCTCCATCTTTGTTCTTCCCCTTCTCTTCTTATCCCCAACCCTCATTTTTTCCCCCCGTGTTTGTTCCTTGGCATTGCTCCCACCTGTCCTTTCGACTCTGCCTCCTTCCAGTTTTTGGTTACCATCCATGGGGAAGAGAGATCGCAACCAGGTAAGGTGACTCTGCTTTTCCTTTTTTATTTTCTTGGTTTCCTTCTCTCTAGAATGAACACAGTGCTGGCTTCTGATTTCCCACACACTGTGGCCTGTGCACATGAGGTAAGGCACTCCTGTCCCTTCTCATTTTGTTAACTGATGTCTTCTGGGCTTTGAACACAGCCCACTTCTCCGGCGTTGTTTTGTCTATTTAAACTGAATACCTCAGGAGCTCCTTTTATTTATCTCCCTGTTTCAGGTTAGTGTAGGCCATCCTTTCTGACAGTGAGTGGCAGGGAAAATACTTCTTGACAGGAGGAGCTTTGGCCTCTCAAAATTCCATAAGAAGTGGAACATTCTTCTTTTTTTTTAAGTGCTTTGTTTTGCCTTGTTTGGCTCAGGCTTCTACCTGATAGTCTCATCCACAGAGAAGAGAAAAATTGGTGAGCTTAAATTACGTAGTTAAATAGCAGTTGTAACAGAAAAATGTAAGAGGTGATAAGCAGGAGAAATAGGCATTCTTGTAACTGAAACTCTTGTGTGTGCACTTTTATATTCTCCAGTAGGTCTTAGCTTCAGTGCTAGGAGTTGTTGGTTTTTTGGTTTTTTTTTTTACTTTCAGATATAAAATTTCAGGTTCTTAATAGAAAAGAGTAAATAAACCTCTCTTTCATTTAAGCAGTCATGTTGTAACACTTCCTGGCCATGTACACTCCTTTTTATTCCTATGCAGGTTGTTTTATGGTTGGTGAGCAGTAGGACTGAAATTTTTTTTTACCTTTCAGGTGACTAGAAATGTGTATATGACAAGAAATAATTTTAAAGAAATTGCCGTTGTGCAATTGTGTATTTTCCTTTAGTGAGACCATTTTACAGATTGCTTTTATACTGCTAAAGATAAGAGTAACTACATAAACTTTAAAATGACCAAAAGTAAGTAACTTTTGTTTTACATAAATGAATTTGAATCAGCCATTCTAGTATTAGAGGGTTCCTGGTGATTCTCCCTACTGTGCAGTTGCAATGTTACTTCACTGACAGTAAATTAGCAGTCCCACTTAAGGGGGAGCTCCCTGATTGCAGCAGCTTTGTGATGCATCTTCTTTCTTAGAAAGGTGGAGGGTAAAGGCCTAATACTGAGTTCTGAAGTTGCAGATAGCTTGTATGATGAGTCCTGCTACAGGTGTGGATTGTTCCTTTGTCCTTATTGAAAATGCATCAGTAATCCTAGTAATACATGAAAAGTGTTCTGGAGATTGGTGTAGCACTTTGAAAAGAAGATGGAAATTAATTTCCTGCTTGAGGTGTGAGTTATAAATAAAGAGGAAGTGCCTAATGACAAGTATGAAGCAGGTACCCTGGAAAAACTACCAGTCTGAAGCTTCTGTTTACACATTGAGGAAAGTTTGTTCCATGCATTGATTGGCCAGATTATTGCATTTCTGTCCTGACCATTAAAAATCCTGTCTGTTTCATCTTCTACAGCAAACTGTCTTGCACAGGTTTGATGCCCTCAAGATTTGTCTAGTGTATGTCTAACAGAGTATCTTAGATTAGTATGACCATGCATTGCTTCAAAAATTTGTTTTAAGCAGTTTGCAAAAACAGCTTGTGAGGTTGGAGGGAGTGGAAGGAGCAACTCACTTGCCATGGAATGAATTGAGTGCTCATTGTGAACTTAACCTGGTGGATGTGAGTCTTCTAGAGGTCTGTTTCAGTGATATACACAACCCTTGGGACTACAGGAATTGCTCTATGCAAGGAAAAAGTTCTGTGCTTCCACAATTCATAACAGTGACCTTTTTCTCTGTGATGTGAAGGTAGACAAGAGGCTTTCTGAAAGAGAAGCAGACTTTTTTCTCATGGCATGCAGCAATAGAGCACTTACCCTCTTGGTCAAACAACATTTTTAATAATGCAGGTTGGAAGAGGAGTGTGGTGAGGCTGTCTGTTGTGAGAAGGTGGTTATGAGACTTACTGTTTCGCCCTTTGTACTAGCCTTTTGTCTGAAATGAGAGTCTTTTCTCATCTAGTCTTACCCCTTGAGGTGCCAGGAATGTCTCCTTATAGTGTATGAATAGAACAGATCTGAGGAGCTTTATCTGGACACTATTTCTTTTAATGCTTTGCTTAAATAAAATCTCTTGACTTTCCAGTTCAATCCATTATCTCCTCTGTACTCTCTGGATGTGCTTGCTGATGCTTCCCACCGAAGATGCTCACCAGCACACTGCACTGCCAGGTAACTCCCTTGCTCTGCTCTGCTCTCTTGGGTTTGTCTCACTTCCCTCTCCTGGATGTCTTCAGTAGTACTGTGTGATCTGAACAGTACTCATGGACCTGTAACTTAATGCACTTCTCCCTGGGCAGCTCATGTCCAAATTTAGCACAAAACGTAGCAATGCAATTTATTTGAGAGTTTCAATGAACTAAATGCTTACAGTATATGAAACAGTGTATGACAGGCAGAATATACTGTTCTATTAGAAATAACTGCACTGTGTTCTGAAATATGCAATGAATTGCTGCAAGTCTGTTTTGTAGGTACAAATGGACATAGTATCATTGCCCACTTTTAGAATTGGAACAAAATGAGAGGGAAAATGCTGACAAACTGGTGTGGGTAACATGCTGAAGCATTTTGGTATCCTAGGTGTCTAAAATAGACCCTCTGAGCAGATTAAGAACTCACCTGAGGTGACCTCTAATGGCTTGATATCTCTCTATAGCAATAGCTGAAATTTAGATCTGGTTTGGCCAGATGTTAGGTATATTTGAGTCTGCATAGTTCAGGTTAATATACTATTCAGGCACCTTTTGCTGACTAATCCTAAATTAAATTCAAGTGCTGGCCTTAGAGGTGACTCCTGTTTTTGTGCTGCAGGTGACTACCTATAGGTAAGGTGCCCTTGAGCTCTTTCCCTGTGCAAGTAGACAAAGCCTTGCTTTGGACACAATTCTGCTTATGTGCTTGTACCAGGGACCCAATCTGAAAGAAATGTCTGGACTTTCAGCTTCATGGCTTTCTTTCCCTTGTTAATTAGCAAATAGAGCATGAAAAATGTACTAAGGTTGTATGTGTCTGAACAGAAGCTTGGCACCCACCCAGCAAAGCCTCTCTTCCCACTGGCTTCTGCAGGGAATTCTGTGATGTCGCACCATGACCTCATGCTGCTGTAGCCAGCATGTTAAAGCTGGAAAAGGGGAGGGAGGAAGAAATCAGCTCTTAAATGTTCAACTGGATGAGAATAAAAAGAATTCAGAAGACTGTGCATCAGCAAATTGATTCCTTTCTGTGCTTTTGCCCCACTCTGGTGATGTTTTCTGCCTGTGAAGCAAGAAGATTGAATGGTCTCTTAATTTTCATCTAGGATAACCTTTCTTTTGCCTCCAGTGTTTTACTTGGTGCTTTATGGAAATTTGTCTTCCAGAACAGTGAGCTGGACAAATCCTGCTTGCAAATTCAAACTGGGCAAAATCTCTACCTTTATGACAGTCAGTGAAGGCCTTTTCCAAAGCCAAGCTCTTTGCAAGGGATTTCTAAGCCTGGAGAGATTGTGTTTGCTAGGTTTTTCTGGGTGTATAGTCTACTTAACCAGTTAATATATATGTTTGGTTCCCTCCTCTAATGAACAGTTGGCTGGTGTCCTGACAAACATAATCACTGATGAATTGTTCCTGAGTTGGCAGAGAAATTGTATCATCCCAGATGCAGTCGTGTTTTTAAATGCCTGAAATTTGAGAAAATAGTTCCTATTTTATTGTGAAATGTGCTCAAGAACCTTTATAGGAGAAAGAAATACGAAAAGAATGAATATGTTTTGTGGCCCCCATGTATGTGGCAAGGGTTGAACTCTTTGGTACAAGGAGCTTGCTTTATGTAAAGATGCTGCTAAGGGCACAGAAGGAAATTGTTCCTTCAGAGAAACATTTTCTTGATAGTAGTTCTTTAGCTATACATGCCAAGCATACTCGTTTCATTTCATACATTTTCATCCATTTTCTTACAGGAGGTTCAGCTGATCTCTGTAAGCCCAGATAAGCTATTGCCCCAGTTAACATCTCCTGCCTTTGCCATGTATGGAATCAGTTTCAGTAGTTTGTGCTTTAGGAAGCTTCTAACAGCTTGCACCTTGTCCTGGAGAAATTCTGCTCTGGAATTTGCCAGAATGGGATGGCTGTGTGTGTGGAAAGCAAATCCTCTGAAATAACATGAGACATATTAGAAAAGAAATGGTCTTGATGTTGTGGCCATCCAGTTTCTTCAACCTGATGCCTCCTGTGCCATGCAAAATCTCCTTTGTCTGCTTTGTTTCTGCTATCATGGAGCATGTCCAGTAGAGTATATTTACTGAGTGGAGTCTTCTCTCTGCTGTGAAACTATTTTCTTTGTCTCAATCATTTTGGTGCAGTTTATCTGGAAGACTGGCAACCCAGTACTTTTGTTTAGGCAGAACTGAAGGCCAAAGTACTGAGTGCAGCTGAGTCTTGAGAAAGAACCTCCTCCTTGACACTGACAAGCCTATGTGGAAGGTTCCTTGGGAAGTCTTATTTGAAAGGCAGTAAAAATCGTACACTACCTTTCTTGATTTATGTCTGTGATGAGAAGAGCTTTCATTCAAAGTGTATGTACAGCACTGGGAATTTCACACCCATCATTAGAAGCAGTTTTGTGTGTGGTGACTGTTATCATTAGTGGTATAATTTTATTTTGTGAAGCAAGGAGAGTTTTCTGCTTTCTTGCAGTCTTCCCAAGGGATGGCTGGTGTATTAATTTGCTGTATTGCCTCCTGGCTGTTCCCAGACTGTTTTTCCTCTTCATCATGGAATTTTTAATGGCCCTGCTGCCTCTCGGGAGGCATGCAAGGAAGAGTACCTCAGGGATCTCTTCTTTTTTCACATGCCTATAATTACTCTCCTTTAAGAGCACAAAACGTTTGCTAATCATGTCTTGTCTGTTAAGGTTTTGACTTCATGATGCAGACTGCTAAAAGCAAGTAAGTATAGACTTAGATGGGCAACTCAGGGGATCCTTCCCTCTTTCCCCTCTGCCTGTTTGCCTCTCTGAGAGGAGTGGTTTGAACAGAATTTTGTTGTTGAGCTCAATCTGCTTAAGAGGATTTTGTATAGGCTGAAATTGAGTACCTTATTAGATGTTGGTTATTCAATATTCTGTAGCTGAGAAGATGTTGTAGATTGTTGGCTGATGGAATGCTATTCCCTTGAGTCAAGGTAAGAGTTTCAGAAGAGCCTAGAACCAATGTTCCCTTTAATTTGAATAGTAGACAGAATAAGAGAGAAAGGTAGAAGATAAATTGTCCCTAATGCTGTTTATTATTTGCCTAGCCTTGAAAATAGGATTATGAGTGAAAAAAACCCAATTAAATATTCCTACTGGAGGTCATAGGAAAAGTGGACCTTGGATGGTAGGTAGATGTTGAAGGTGGAGACTTGAAGAACTGTATTAGACTTTTGAGTAACACAGATAAAGAAAATTGCTTTGCATGTACTTTGTTAATACTAACTGTAAATCTAGAGTTTAATCTGATATAGAAGCAAGTCTGTCATTTGCGTGGAATATGGGATAAAGATATAGGGGGGCTGAGTGATCTCCTCATTTGCTGCCAGTTGCCCCATACTCTGCGTTTGGTGGTGCTATTAAACTGAACAGACTTGAATATCTCAAATTCTAGTTCTAGCTCTAGAAATACTTTTGTGAAAATAAATATTGTTCTGCCACTTCTTTATCTGTGCACAGAGATCTTGATATTTCTGCCTCTTACCCAAGCATGTGGAAATACAGGGAATGCCTGCAATATCAGGCCTTTTCTGAGGCAGCTGAAGGAGTGAACAGATGTCCACAATTCCTTACTTTCCTGCTTGGGCAAGACAGTATCCAGTTCATTTTAGGCAGCCTATCTCCCTGTTTTTTTTTTTTTTACTCTTTTTCCATTTAGCTGGAGGATTTTCATGTCTTCTTTGCTAAAGCTTGGCTAATATTCCAGTTGGGAATATAGCTGAATTCTTCTGACAGGCATGCAATGAACAGCAGCTATCAACCTAGTGTCACATGCAGTTGACTGAAGCCTAATATTCCCATTTTGATGAATCCTAATTCTCTGGAGTGAAAAATAAATTCCCCTTGGCTTCAGAATATTTTTTTTTTTCCTTGCTATTTCAAATCTGTGTACTCAGCAGATCTGGCAAACAGTAGGAGTCTTTCTGGCACAGATACAGTGTGATTCAGTGTGAAAATAGGGAATATAATATATGGGATCACATATTCTCTGCTTAGAGTGCTTACATGGAAAACAGGAAGAAAATGCATTCACTTGCATTTGCCACATGCAGACTTTTAGGAATAGAATTGCCACATCATTATAATGCTTACTTGGGGAACAGACTGCTTCTCTTGAAGATCTATGAGATTTGGATGATCAAAGAAGTGAGCTAAACTATTAGAGATTTTGGAGTCTGAAAATGTGCTCTAGAAGCTTTCCCAAGAGGCTCTGCAGTGCATAGGAGACTGCTGTGCATCGGGAATATCTACACTGGGATGTGATAGCAAGAACCACTTGTGTGTGCGGGAGCTTTGCATGCAGATAGGATGAGCAACTTGTATTGATTTACACGTGTTATGTGCAGATTAGACTGGTGCCCAGCTGGCTCTGTAGTCAAAGAGGAGGAAGATTTCTGCTTTTACTATTAATTTTGTGAAGCCACCATCAACAGCCTCAGGTAACACCTCAGGGCTTAGAGAAAGAGCCTTTCATTTGGTTTGTGTTTGCTCTGAATAGAGCATCACAACAGCAACAGCTGGGCTGTGTGGAGTTTTAGTAGCAGTATCTTTGTTAAAAGGCAGTCTCTATTAACATTCACTTTAACATGAGGATAATAACATCCCTTGTTTTTATAGTAGTAGACTAATGACTGCCTCTCACTTTCACTGTATAATCCACATGCTTTGCTTCTTCTAAGGATAGGGTTAGAATAAAGAGTGTAAGCAGACAAGCTGAATATTACGAGATGACCGTGAGAGGCACACACCCCCAAGTGTGCAGTGTGCCTCTTGCCTCCAAGAAGGCCACAGGTTGTCACGTTTAGCTCTGTATGGCCACTTCAGAGACCTTTGTTGTGAGATTGAGCTGATTTTCACCCTGAATTTTAAAAGAGTAGACTTCATGCTACAATTTAGATTTCACAGATAGAGAAGCTTTCAGGGTCCTGATGCTGTTCAGTAAGATTCTTTGTGGGCTGGTGTCTGCTTGTGCTCTGTATTTTCTCCTACAGATTATATTACCAATCCTAATTTTCTCTTGAAAATTTTTGTTGAAATACTGTGGTAGATGTAAAATAGTGTCAAGCTCCAGTGCATGGTCATCTCAAACTGTAGAAGTGAGGTGGGAGTCCTGTGTATGCAGGTACTGGTCATTAAAAAGCATGTAAATAAAGACATAGAATAAATATGCGGAAAAGAAATGAAAGGAAGAATTACTTCTGACACATTGGAGACTACCATGAATTTAATCTTTCTGCATAACAAAGCCTGTTTTTTCTCCACCATGACCTGCATGCAGAACTGAGTACCATAAGTACTATGTTAAAAACAAAAACAAAAGACAAAAAGTATTTCCTGAATGATTCCTTTAGTGTGATTACAAAAAATATTATCACTGTCAAAAAGACACTATAGACTTCTCATATTGTTGAAAGCCATTTTTTCCTATACATGTGTAATTTTTCATTTACTAACTCCTGGCAGTGACTGCTATGTGAGTTGAATATATTGCAGCCAACAAAACAGCCACATTTTTGACCCTGATATGTTGCTCTAAGTGTGTTCTCCTTTTTCTCTTCCAGGGTTAGAATTTCAATCATCTCTAGATTGTAAACTATGTTTTCATGTTAGTCTCATAGTTGGTCACATCCACCTGTGACTAAACACTGCAAATTTTTTTTTCTTATGATAAACCTTTCATAGTCCAAAAGAAATCAGGGAATTATTTTCTCATTTCTGTTTATGCAACACTGAAGAAAGCATGGACGCCTAGCAGAAGAGATTGAAGGCTAGGAAAGATAGTGTAAGTCCTATTCTAGTTTGTAAGTTTAGTCCCAGATCTTCACAGAGAGGGTTGAGACAATGCGCAAATACGTATTTTCTGTCAGCCTTTCCTGTTATAGTCTACTTTAGAGTAATTTTTAACTGTTCAGAAGAGTTGCTAAAGTTCAGGAGAACTAATTCATCGTTGCTACTTGTAATATTTTCATGTTTTATAATTCAGCCTATCCACCGCTCTGTTGGGAACTGTGCATATCCATGACTTGACTTTCGAAGTGGTGGTGGTGGTGTTTGTAGGAGTCTGCTGTTAAACTGGGATTCACTAATTCTATTATCTCACTGATAGAGATCTTCATGCAAGCTAGTTACTAGAAATTTACATTGAAAAGTGAGATATCTACCAAAAATCTGCATATTTCATAAGCTATACCTCAGACATGCTTTCTGTCCATGCCTTAATGAGGACTATCATCCCTGAATGCAGTCATCTGCTCTTCTCTCTCCCAAGGTACTTACCACCTAGAGATTCCCTGCATGCAGATTTATGGTGCCTGTAAAGTGCACCAGCCACTTGAAATGACATTTTTACCACTGGGTCAGTCAGAGCCAGTGAGTAATCAATAGGTTCCTGATTTACTAACTGAAGCGTGGGTGATCAATAAGGGATAAACCTGAATGAAAAACATGTTACAGAGACAATTTATGACCTCTGAGCCTTTGTATCTTAGAGGCAGGGCTACTAGATACAGCATTCTTGCTAGTAGTCTTCAACTGAAGTATTATTTGCTTTTACTTCCACTACAATAAGGGATTTTGAGATTATTCTGTTTTCATTTTGATTTTTTTAACCTCTTGTGTAATCATCGGGTAAGTGTAGATGTTTGAATATGTAGCTGAGAGCCAGGAGCTCTTAGGCAAAATCTTGCTGTAACATTTGTGAGCTGGAAAAATTGCATAGTCTCTTGGAAATGATAGTGCATACTTCTTTTCTAGTCCATAGTGATTCTAAGTATCAACTGGCTAATGTTGGTGTAAGTTCATAAAATTAAAAAGGGAACATTTTAAAATTATTTTTGTTACTTTTATATGAATTAAAATTAATTAGATTATTATATACAATTATGTAGTTGTGCAGTTAGTAATCTAATACTGTGTCACTGGTGCAAAATAAAAAACAGGATCTTTTCTTCAGGCTATGTGTGTTTAGATGTTTCAGAATACATGGTTACAGCTATGTAAAAACACTGTATAGCCCGTGTTATAATCATGATCAAAAGCATGATCCACATGTTAATTAGCATCCACAAGTTAATTAGAGGTGAGAGATTTGAGTGTGCATTCTGTAGGTGTGCCAGTATTTTTGAAAGCTTTTCACCTCCAGGGATGCTTTCTCCAACCACCTCCCTGGGCTGTTCATTCCAATGTCTGACAACCCTTTCCTTGAAGAAAGTCCTGATATCCAGCCTGAACCTCCCCTGGCACGGCATGAGACTGTCTTCTCATTCTTCTGCCAGTTGATTGGGAGACCCCCACCTGGCTACACCCTCCTTTCAGGTAGTTGTAGAGAGTGATAAGTTCTTCCCTGAGCTTCTTTTCTCCAGGCTAAACACCCCCAGCTCCCTCAGCTGCTCCTCAAAGGGCTTGTGCTCCAGAGCCTTCACCAGCTCCATTGCCCTTCTCTGGACATGCTCTAGCACCTCAGTGTTCTTGTAGTGAAGGGCCCAAAATAGAACATAGGACTTGAGGTGTGGCCTCACTGAATACAGGGGAATGATCCCTTCTCAGGTTCAGCTGGCCACCACATTCTTGATCCAAGCCATGATGGCACTGGCCTTGGCCACCTGTGCACATGCTGGCTCATGTTCAGCTGCTGCTGAGCAGCACCTCCAGGTTCTTTGCCTCTGGTCTGCTTTCCAACCACCCTTCCCCCAGCCTGCAGCAATGAATGGGGTTGTGGTGGCCAAAGTGAAGGACCCAGCACTTGGTTTTTGGTGAGTTTACTGAGAGTACACTCAATCCCCTCAGGAGACTTCTTTGTCTGGTTGTATTAATATATGCTCCCAGGTTTAAAAAACTGACTGCGAAACATAGCACAATTTAAAAATTTTTGAAACTGTTCTTTAATGTCAGATATAGAGGACAGATCTTATAGACTTCTTGTAGAACTTTTGAATTTTAGTTGAGAAGATGGAACAGTAGTTTAATTCCTTTATTTAGTGGTTGCACTTTTTTTTCAGGTAAGTAGATAGACCCAGCAGCATTCAAACAATTTATAGACTGGACTAGTGTAGGAATTTCTTTGTGGTCCCTACACTGTTCTGTATAGATACAATAGCACAATTTGATTTTGTATAAATACAGGTTCTAAAACAATACATATTGTAAATATGTGGGTTTGGTTTTTTTAATAGATTTCTGTAGTGGAAATAGAAAGCCATGGATTTTTCCTTTTTTTATATTTCAAAGGCTTTAGTATGTGATAAAAGTGTTTGTTAAACTTTCAGGATGTTTTAAAAAGATCAAAATAACAAACTTTGAAGATAGTGAAGCTTTTCAGCACTTAGTCATCAAAACTTACATGGTTCCAAATTTCATACCATCTAAGCTCCTCACAGTCTTTAACTGATATTATTTGCACTGTAGTTCTGTATTTTGCACATCAGATCTGATGGTAAGAATGACCAAGGAACTTGATAAAGGAAGTCTGTTACATCAGACAAAGAAGGGATTTGAACCCAATGTAATTTCTAAATTATGCATTTATATTCATTATGGATGGTATTTGAGGAAGTTCTCTGGTCTGCTGTAAAGACTGTTATTTGTGAGTTAAAGTTCTCTGCTTCCTTACAGGTATATGACTTGAAGGAGTTCTCAGCTCAAGTCAGTTCCAACAATACAGATTTCTTCCTAATTGGCAAATGGCTACTTCTTAATTGGCAAATGATTAAACTGAAACGGCCATCAGTAGGCTTCAGACTTAACAGTTGATATTAACAGGACAGATTATGCCTTTCAGCCAGTTTAGAGGTACAACAAGGCTGCCAAAAGTCAGATTCAGCTGTTTACACAGCACTTTGATAAGGAAATAATGATTTTAAAAACACGTGAGACAGTCTTGCATTCCTAGCTTTACGAACTTACTGCTGTAGTAGAAATAATATGCATGGACATTTGGTGTTATAGGTACATTCTAAGATGACTCTACAGTACCAAATAGATTGCAAAATAATTTCTGACTAAGGAGCAAATATCACACAGTTTATATAAAGAGCAATCTTGCAGCCATTTATTATTGCATATAGAAGTAATGGTAGGACACATGCCGTATAACTGCTTGATCACATCTTTATGGATGCAAGGAGTTAGTTTGGAGTTAACAAATAAACAGGCAAAGATATAATTTTTAATTTAAAGGCTAAGATATAATTATTCTTCTGAGCAGTTTATGTATGAGCTCTTAAAGGAAATGGGAGCATAATTTATATTGCCAAAGAATGACAGCAAAACTCCCTGAGAAACTTTTGGGTTGTGCTACTTACTAGTTAAGAAGGAGCTGGATGTGACTGGTCAGTCTTACAGAAATGTGATATTGGAGTGGAGTTTAGTTTGTTTCATTTTCTCCATAGGCAAGCAAATGTCCACCTGGGACCACCATGTTCAAGGGACATCAAGAGGAAACGAAAGCCAGCTGCAGCCTCCATGTCTAGCCAAACATCAGGTAACCTGACAGCATTTTTATAGTCATGTCCCTTTTGAGCAAAATGCCATAGGCAAACGTGATGTTACTTTGGTTTGAAACTAATGAAAAGTGTGAGAGAGCATATCATGTGTTTTTGCATAGCATCAAAAGCTGCCTACTAAACAAATTTTTGGCAGTGTAGCAATGTTAAGTTAATATAATTTGCAGTGCTTCACCTTACTGTGAATAGTAATTTACTTCTTCATAAGGTGTTATTTCCACTATCCTAAATCATGCAGTTCGTGGTAATAGAGAGCTATCAGTGTGCACGGTGTGCTCCTTTAGTGTTGGGCTGGCATTAGCTGGTGGCTCTGATGCCCTTTACCAGGGTATTTGTAGACAATTTCACAGGAGCTAAAATCTGGCAATTTTTGTATCATCACTAGGTGAAACCACTTTTTCCCTTGGTGGTTGTCTTACTCTTCTGGATGAAAATAGTTTTTTCTTGTTACGTGGATGTAGTCTTCAAAATGCTGGTCTATTTTCATGCGGCAGTTTTCTGAAAAGTCATTGATTAGTCATTAGAATATGAAAAAGCTTTAGTCTGGTGAACATGGTGGGGTTTAGGATGCTCCTTTCTGTTCTTTCACCTTACCCTATCTTGCTACTATCCACTGACACATGTTCTTTCAACTAGTTTATTAAATAAATATTCTTGTAATCCAGTAACAAGGTAGTGGATAAGATGGTGGAAAAAATGGAGATGTGAAAACAGTGGGGAAGACCAAATAAACTGATGATTAATAGGAAGAAGTTTGTTTCTTCCTTGGGCTGGTGGATAGACAGAATAATGAAGTAGGGAAGAATGCTGAGTTTTCTCTCCAGGCCATTGGTCTGGATTGCAAACTTTCAGAAGGGTTCTGTATTAAAAAAGAAAAGAACATTAGTAATCTGTTATTCAGCAAAAGTATCTTCTATTATTGATTATTTATTTAGGTTATTCTTTCCTGGCTTTTGAGTATTCCATATATTCCATATTCAAGCTTCTGTAGTAAAAGGGTAGTATCCGAAATCACAGAATCTTAGCACTGGAATATTAGATTTTCTTGGTATGAGTGCTAATGTCTCACTGTCCCCTGTTACCTGTCCATTTACTTATTATTCAGAATGTATTCTGTACTGCATTGCTGATCACTTTCTATAAGGAGAGCTTCTGTGTCCATGCCTACATGATTCAAAATGCTATTTAAGTTGTACTTCCCCGATTAGGCAAATTGTATAGTGAACACTTTTGGAAGAGTTGAGAGTGCATCTGGACTGAAGCTTAGCTCTGGAAAATAGCACAGGGGCTTGGAAAGCTTTCTTATTATGGATGAGGGAGAGAGGATTATTATGTAGTACAAAATAAGGAAGAAGTCTAATTAGTAGAGTACAGGCTGATGCTTATGCTGATGATCAAGATACAAGGTCTGCAAATGGTCAGAAATGGTAAAGATCTCTTCCTCAGACCCTGTTTAGAAATATCCTCAGCCAAGTGAACAGCTGTGGGCAGGGTTTGCTGCAATACTGACTTGTGGAAAGAAACATCTGTGATTGGGTAGCTGAAGCTATGTCCTAAATGATGTTCTACTATAGACTCCCAATTACAGCTGAAGCACAACCTGGACATCTAACTTGGAAACTTCTGGAATCTGATGTAATTTCTGACAAAGGAGATTTTGCTATGGAATTACTAATGTCTAAAAAGATATGAAGTATCTTTCTGCAATAATGTAGAATTGGACACTCTTATGTTGGATATTGATGAGATAAAGATTTTTCTCCCTTGCCATGCATCTACTCACCCCTATATAAATGCCATATACATGTGCCTGAGGAGTCAGAGCAGCCTCATTTTTTTTACTTCTGAGGCTTTTTATGTTTGTGGTGTTCTGCAAAAGGTGAAACACACGTAAATCAAAATGCAGGCCCATGCCTGTCATGCAGGCACAGAGTGCTGGATTTCTTCACCTTTAAATAGCTCCTTCGCTGAGTCCAACTGCTCTCGTCTCACTTGTTGACCAGGTCCTGCTTCAGTGATCTCCTTTTTTGCAACCTGAGTGCCCCATGGAGGTGAAGGACACAGCCTGAGCTGGCTTCATCAGTCAGCAGAACAAATGGGCTTGCTCTGCCGAACATCGGGCCATCTCGGATTCCACCTCTTTTATAGAGATGAGTGATGAAGAGGGGCTCGTTCCGCTTTGCCGCTGTATTAATACACATCAGGGGCCAGCTCCCGGCACTAAATCACGCTACTGCATACATCTGTTATCGGACTCCTCACCAGTGTGATGAACAAGACTGCAGATAGAGGCTTCCTCATGTCATTCTTTATAGGATTTTCCTAAAAGAATAAATAGCTCAAATCTCTGCCAACACTATCCCCTGTCATTGTGATGAATTTAGCTTCTTTCTTAAACATGCAGCTACAAATCTTCCCCTGTCGTCTCACCCCCCCACCATCCACAGAAAGTTTTGAGTTGAATTTGGCTGAAATCAGAAGATGCTTATAAAAGGCACATGAAATGTGGGTGCTATTTCCTTCCTCAGTGCAGGTATGAGTAAAGGCACCTAGATATAATGTTTATTTGGAAACCAAGCAACTAAATTTATTCCATGTCTTCTCACATACTTTCATGCAGAGACCCTTGCATGAACATCAAAAAACTGCATTACTGTAGAAGTGCCTTGCGTCTCTGTTGTATTGCTGTAGTATTAAAATTCTGGTATTAATACTGCTCTCTGAGGCTAACTGGCCTAAATACCATAACTGAGCTGTTGAGAACAACAAAAAGTGGGCAGAAAATTCAAAATTAATTTGCACTTCAGGAAGTGAGTTTTATCAAAATTAAATTGGGAAAACTTATGCAAATATTCAGAGAGAACTGAAAATTCATGTTTTCCACACTATGCAAACAAACAGTTTGAGCCCTAAAGCATGAGGCCTTCACCAGATGAGAACAAAAATCTGGCTGGTGTAGTTTGGCAGTAGAATAAGGAAATCTGGAGGAAGTTAAGGCTGACTACTGGATTAGACCAGAGATTTGTCCAACTCAGTGACCAACAGCCAGTGCCTAGGGAGGAAGAAGGTCATTGGTGATAAAGGTCCTTTGACCTTTCAGTGATCTGATTCGAAGTCATGGATAGTGTCCTTGTGTTTAGTTACTTTCCACTGCAGACTAGAATCTAGTCTAGAATGTAGACTTGGAATAATATCTCCAGTGGCACAGTAGAGCTTGTCTGAGAAATATGGCATGAAATAGCTTCTCATAGAAGCTGTTCTCTAGTTTGAAAGGAATCTGATGAAGACTGTCACGTCTGTCTTCATTTTGCCAGAATAGGCCACAAGTACAGATGGTTGTGCAATAAACGGTGAACAACTACTTTTTTTTCTTATGATAAACCTGTCATAGTCCAAAAGAAGCATCTTTACACTGATGTTTTTAATGTTTATGTGGTTCAATCCTCTATGTATGTAGCAGTGCACATGGTAACTGGCATCCTAATCAGTTATTACGATGAGTCTGGGGTAAAAATCTGCATAAATAAATTTTTGTCTGTCTTGGCAAGTATTCATACTTAGCCTGTAAAAAAGGTGACAGCAGCCTGTGAAACTGCTTATTTGAGAACAGTCTGATGAGTAATAGCAATTTGGTGAATTTTCCCTCTCCTATTTCTTGCTAATTATTCACTCTTTGTCATACCTAGAAACAAGAAGCCGGTTTCAGTCCTTTTCTTTTGTTTTATGAGGAAAGATGAAGAGCCTGAGTGGGAAGGCTGCTAGCAAGGGGTACATAGTCTAGTATTGGTAGTGATTGTGAGTTTAAGGACTGACTTAATTGTTGGGGGTTTTTCATGTCTCGTATGACCTTCAGATGGAGGAAGATGATGAGCTGGATGTAAAATTGCAAGGTACTTTTATCAGCTGTGTTGTAGCTGTATGGGAATGACTCACTGTTTTGGATGTACAGAATGTGGAATCTCAAGCATTGAACCAACTTTTTATTTAAACTTCAAAGCAATCTGTCCTCTAGTTGAGGCTTGCTGTGGACTCTTTATCCACTACAGAGCAGCAGATGCAACTTGTAATTACAACACACAAACAACTATTATTTGTTGTGAGACTACAATGAAGAAATATGTTTTGTATTGAAGTAGTTACTTGTTAAAAATATTCTGTTTGCCCCAAAGACTCGTATGGCAATTACTCTTCTTTACCTGGCCCTGTTCTGCTTGTGAGGACTGAGTGATTCAGAGTACTGAGAATTGGAGTAAACTCTCATACCTCTAGGTTTTTGACAATCCTTCTGGAAATTTGGGTGACTGTTGGGTTGAGCTATGGATCTGCAAATCTCTCTGGCTATTATAGCCTGTCCCATTTTGAAGTAGTGGTTGTATTGAGAAAATGAGAAGGGATTTCAACCTAGTTTGGCAAGCAGTTTCTTGTCATAATATGCTGATTTACCATGTTGGTTATATGTGGAGGTTCATGGTACTGCCCTTACTGGGTGAGGAGAGGTATATTTTCCTCTTTAGATGAGCTTAGCAACCCAAATTTTGCCACACCTTCAGCGACTTTGAAAGTCTCAAGCAGAGAGTTAATTGAGTCTTTGCAAAGAGTCCAAGTTATTTTGAGATGAGTGATTGTGAATTGATTCACTTTAAATATGGGGTAGCTAAAACTTTTGATTTTCAGCAGGAGCTCTGACTAAGGAAACCAGTTAGTGGACTGGGAACTTGGAGTTTTGAATATGTGAATCATTAGAGCAAAATCATTAATGCTATCAAGAACCTCTATTTCAAAGGAATTTGGATGGAGAACTTCTAGAAATTTAATAAATAATACCATTATAAATTAAATTATATATATGAGGGATTTGCCATGAAGTCAGTTGTTCTAATTTTTTTTTATTGCCCTTTCTTACTGTCTTCCTCTGTTTCCCCTTTCCTGCAATTTTATATTCCAGCAACTTTATCTGTTCACATGGATGCAGCAGAGTCAGAGCTACCAGCAACACCATCCTTGAGATCCCAGAACTCTGAGTGGACTGGGAAAACACCAGCAGCTGAGAAATCTACTATTGCTGCCTCCAGTAACTTTTTTAAAATGCCACCAGAGAAGAGCCCTGGATACAGCTAAAAGGAAGCATTGTAACTGTAAAAGCTTGCTCGATTTTGGAAGTGTTTGATTCTGGTGTTTGTCTGCACTAAACATCTTGTTTGGCAGTAGTGGTATCTTCAGTATTGGTGCGTGATGCGTGCCATCATCCAGGCAGGTCTGTGTGCCTCACACACCTAAGTCATGTTTGTGAATCTGTGCTTAAGAAAAGGTAATCAGTGTTGAGACTGCAGTGGCTTTTAGAAAGTTTCCTGCTATCACTGTATTTATTAAGAATTCATCTCTTTCCCTGGTTCCAGCTCATATGTAATGGGTCATGTACAGGTTCTTTTGGGTTTTCAGATGTTTAATCACCCCCTGGACATGTTGCTTGTTTGTGTATTTGGCATTTTCAGGGTGGAAGTCCCACTGCCATTCAGGGAGGCTGGAGTCTCTCTCTGCTTGCTTCCTGGCCAGAAGGATTTCTTGGCTGGGGAATGAGGAGGGAATACGAACACATTGAAACATGAAACCTGAATCCCGTATTAGCAGAATGTTTTCTGGCCATGTGCTAATGGACTCAAATCATGTTGCTTCTGGAAAAGCAAATATGGTGCTTGTCTATGTAGAAATTGCCATTAGCTCACAGGCAGCATTTGTCCGTTAGACCTTTTCCTTCTCCCTTGTTCTGAATGTCTTCAGTCTTGTGTATTGCATGTTCATTCCTAAACCTCCTACTGGATAAGGATTTGGGAGAGCTACTTGGATGTAAATGTGCAAGCTGGTGTCCTGGATAGAAACCGAGACCCTTGAATATTGTTGCAGTATGGTAGAAGATTACACAAAACATCCGTATCTCAGTGTTTAAATTAAAAAATGTCTGTTAGTGTTTCTAAAGGATGCTTGTTGAAGTTAACATGCCATTGAACAAAAAAGCCATTTAAAGTGTCACCTGAGGTCAGAGCGTTATGGGTATAGATCAGACTCCTTCTGTATCGTGCTCTCTCTCCCTTCAAAAGTACTGTCTGCTATATCTACTGGAGGTGTCTCCACCTGCTGATGACTGCACATTACACTGCAGTGTACACTGAAGAGATTCTCTTCATAGAACTTCCACTTGGTCTGCTGTTACCTTCTGTGTTGCAGAATATATGGACAAGGGTTTCTTCTCTCTAATAACTCTGGAGCTTATCTTGGACTATGTTTTCAGAATATGTACCTGGTATAGTATGTGCCAAGGAACAAGTGGCCTCACAGCTTCTTAAATCCTTTAAAAACAGGATCTATTTGTATGAATAGAACTTTTTGCTTTCCTTGTGTGGAGCTTTCAGACAGGACAGTTTAAACTTGTAAAATCTATTTTGATTGTGGCTATGCATCTAGTTCTCTTAATCAGATAGCAAAATTTGCTTGATTTTAGTGATTTTGCAGTGTTCTGCTCTCTTATGAATCAAATGACTGAGGGACAGATTTTACTGGGGGAACATGAAGCGGTGATTTATATTAACTGTGTATTAAAATGGGAAATGATCATAATATACATGAAACAAACTGAATGACTTGCTAAATCATGATTGACAAATATAGTTATACTATATGCACACTGTGTCTGATCCTCTAATACCTACTTATTCTTGGGGAGACATCCAAATTGGATTTATATTTTGCATCACAAGCAAACTGTCAGATCTGTCACTATAAATCCTTCTCAAAACTCTTTTTTATTCTTTTTTTTTATTTGGGTGGTACATTTTAGAAGTAATTAGAACAGGGAAACCCTTCTTACCTTAATGAAGGAATACAGAAGTCCATTTGAATTACAGGACAAGCTGTAGCAGTTTGTGAAGGAAGAAGTGTTCCTGTTTTAAAATTGTCATGGCTTCGTCTTACTTGTAGCTATTTTGAACAGTGGTGCCTAAGGGGTAACACAGGAAATTTCAGCACTGGAGGGCCTGTAATCTAAAACATCTGAAGAGAAGGTAAACCTGCAGAGCAGTATCTAATACTCATGAGTACAGTGAATGGGAAAGGTGGTCACGTTCTCCTGACAACTTGCAGATAAAAATTAGGATTTGAAACCTTGTAATCTAAACTGCATGCTGCTCCAATGATAGGATCCCTAAAAGAGCATTTGTGAAATTGAGTGTTTTTGATCTCATGGAGTATCCTCCACCACCTCTCATAGTTTGTCTATTCAACAGACTTACTCAGAATACTGATCAGTCAGCTAAAATTTTATATTTTACGCATTGTATTCCCTTTTAAAAATCAATTGTGATATATCTTGCTACATTCTGAGTATTGTCCAAAGTAGTTTTTTTCTTTTCTGTGATGTCAGGATGCTTTAAAAACTTTTTCAAGAAAGGTCTTAGGGAATCAAGAGCATTTTTCTCATTGTAGTGTTGGAGGGGTGGGTTGCAATGCATCATGTGATTTTTCTCAGGGGGCTAGGGAAGAGAATTTGTCAGATTTTCCTATTGAGGACAGTAGCAGTGTTATCTGGTTAAGCCCTTACTTAGGTTGTAAGCTCCTAGGAGGTATTTCTTGCCTTTTAAGGCTGATTGTACCCATGGCTGTACATGGGTACAATGTACAGGTCTTGGCAGGTCTTGTCTTGACAAGCCACACTTCCTGCCATGGCAACTTTCTGGATGTTCCAGGAGACTCCAACTATTGCAGCTGTCCTGTCTTTCCTATTTCTAGGTTAGACTCCATTTACAAGTTAGTCAGATTCTCAACCAAATTTGATTGTCCTGAGTGGTAGGCCAGCTAAATGGATCATGTATCTTGTTACTCCAGGGTATTTATCAAAATATATCTTCAGATTATCTCATATTTAGTAACTTGATACAGATTTTAATATCTACAGTATTTTTAGATGAATAAAGTAAGTCCATTGTTTTGCCTCTCTTTTTCATCTAAGGCAGATTTTTTAGAACTCTGCTCACACAGAGAGAGTTCACAGTGTGAATGATATTGCTTCCCATGTGGATTACTTGAGTAAAAAGGAGTAATAACATGCTTTGATTTGGTAGTTGTGCTTCTGTGAAGGTGGTCCAGTATGTGATTATTGCTTCAAAGACACACAGCTCACTAATATTCCACTTCTTGTCCACCAGGACTCCCCAGTCTTTTTTCAGTTTTGTTTTCTCTCCAGTTGTCACTCTCCTTGTCCTTATGGGACACTTCAACTTCTCAGACAGGACCTGGGAATACCATACTACTGTGACAAACAAGTCTGGAAATTCATGAAGTATTTTGAAGATAATTTGTAGTCACAAGCACTCAGTGAGCCAACTAGGAAAGTTCCTCTCTTAAACCTGTTATTTATTAATAAAGAAGGATTTTTGAGAGATATGATGTTAGGTGGCTGCCTTTGCCACAGGATCATGAAATGGGTAATTTTAAAAATTCTGATTTTATGAGGAAAGTGGTCAGCAAAGTTGCTACCCTGAATTTCAGCAGAGCTAACTTCAGGTGACTCAATCAGCTAGTTACTAGCGTGCTGTTCCTTGAGTGCTGGTCAGTTTTTACGAATCACTTTGTAAAAGCACAAGAGCAGGTAATCTCTCTGTTGAAAGTCAAACAAGCCATGCAGAAGACCAGGTTAACTGAACAGGGAACACCTCTTGAATCTCAGAAAGGGAGATAGTATGATATCTGGTAGCAAGGTGAAGCTTCACAGAAAAATTACAGAGCTGTAGTTCACATATGCAGGGAGAAGATATGAAAGACCAAAACTTGATTAGAGTTGAAACTGGCCAGTGTTGTGTCAGACAAGCAAGGTTTTCTGAAGTACATAAATAGCAAAAGGAGGTCTAAGGAAAACATTGGACTAATATTTGTTATAGATGATCACATTACAAATTGGAGTGAAGAAAAAGTGGGGCCATTCAGTTCTGGTTTTTTTGCCTTGGTCTCCTACAATACTGACAGACCTTGGGCTGCCCTGTCTTCTGATTTGGAGGACCATTACTGTGGGAATAATGACTTTCTGTTTGTGTACACGGAGATTTTAAGGGACCAGTTGAATGTTTGTAAGTCTATGAGGCCAGGTGGGCTTCATCCCAGTGTACTGAAGGAGCTAGTTGTTGTAGCATAACCTCTCTCAATCCCTACCAAAGGTTTTGGGAGTTTGGGAAAGGTCCATGTTGACAAGAAGCTACTCAGCATTATTCTAGTATAGAAGAAGGGCACGAAGCAAGAAACACAGACCTGCTAGTCTAGCCCCAGTACCTGGAAAAATTATAGAGGAGATCATACTGGTGCTACTGAAAGGCATTTAAAGTCCTTTAAATTATAGAATCATAGGGTATCCTGAGTTGGAAGGGACCCACAAGGATCATCAAGTCCAATAAAAAAAGGTCTAGTGGGTGTTGTGGTGGTTGGCGGCTGTCTTGGGCATAGTGACCATGAAATGTTAGAGTTTTCAATACTGGTTGAAGTAAGGAAGGGCACCAGCAGAACTGCCACCATGGACTTCCAGTGGGCAGACTTTGGCCTGTTCAGGAGATTGACAGAATTCCTTGGGAGTCAGTCCTGAAGGGCAAAGCAATCTAGGAAGGCTGGATGTACTTTAAAAAGGAATTCTTAAATATGTTCAGGAGCAGCACCATCTTCTTAGTTCTTCTTTGGATACTCTCTAATAGCTTTATGTCCTTCCTATATTGTGACACCCCAAACTGCACACAGGACCCAAAGTGAGATTGCACCAGAGGGGAGCAGGATAATCCCCTCCTTTGACTGGATCATGATGTAGTTTTAAAACAGAGCAAATAATAAACAGCAAGTTGGTGAAAGCTGGAAGGCATATCCTGTGGGAATTGGTGAAGGAATTTAGTTTCGTCTGGTTTGAAGAAAAGGAGACTGCACTCTACAGTTTCCCGAGGGGGGGAAAGTGAAGGTAGAGGCGCTGGTCTCTTCACCCTGGTATGTAGTCACAGGGCACATGGGAATGGTTCAGAGCTGTGCCAAGGGAGATTCAGACTTCACATTTGGAAACACTTCTATACATCTTCCATACAGAGGGGGTGGTCAAACATTGGAGCAGGCTTCCTAGAGAGATGGTTGATGCCCCAGGCCTCTTGGGGCTTAAGAGACATTTGGACAAAGCCCTTATTTTAATTTCTTTTCAGTCCTGAAATGGTCAGTCAGTTGCACTAGTTATTAATTTTAGGTCCCTTCCAATTGAACTATTTTATTTTAATCATTAACTTCATGATGTTTCTATCTTTTCATTCCTCCAATCTGTCCAAGTCCCTCTTGGTGGTACTCCCACCCTCCAGCATATCAGTGTCTCCCTTCCTGAACATGCTTTATTTCTGATTTTGTTGGGAGTATTTTCTGTCTTTTTCCACTGGGTCACTAATGATTTTTGAACACTATCAATCCCAGTGTTCTGAGGCATGCTTTTCATAAATGGCCACCATGCAGATCTCAAAACATTGATTGCTTAACCTGGCCAGTTTCTCTCTGATCTTTCTTGCTGGATGCTGTCCAGTCTGTACCTCTCCCATCTGGCTTTGAAGGTGCTGTGAGAAACTGCATCAAGAGGCTTATTGAAGTCAGTGGAGACATCACTTACTGCCCTCTGTGCATCCTCAGAGCCTATCATTCCATCATAGAAGACAGGTTCATAGGCTTGATTTTACATCATTTAATGTCTGTTTGTTCCTAGTCATCTCTTTGTCCTTTGGGTGTCTAGAAGTGGCTTCCAAAACTTGCTTCATAAAGCTACAGGGGACTGAGGTAGGGCTGACTAGCCTATCACTCCACCAATACTCGTTCCTATCTTTTTAAAAAGGTGATGTATATATACATACCTCTACTTGTCTCTGGAGACCTCATGCAATTGCAACTGGTTTCCTTAGGTGGCAGTGGCCAATCTCAAAATGACA